ACCTAAAGTAAAGAGCTCTTTGGAATTCATTGCTTGCTAAAGTATGTCATAAAGTGGGGAACACGTTCTAGTGCGCTTAAAATTAAATTGGTTCATGAATAAAGGTTGATTGTAGATCTCGCTGCTGAATTTAAGTGGACAATAATATCCTTGGTCGCCGTCAGCTAAATGGTCTATATAGAAATGTAACATCCTATTTCGGGTCGTCAGTGGTTAGGGTTCGTGGGCTGCAACCCAGACATGAGGAAGTCTCGGGGTTGTGACGAGTTGCTAGAAATGTAAGGCATCTCGGCACCTTTCCCTGGGTATGAGGTTCTTTGGAAACGGAGTCATAACAAGGAAGCGTTGGAAGTTTTAAGTGTTGGCAGGATAACTCCCTTAATTTAGAAAGGTGGCAGCTGAGTCAGTTAGGCATACATATGTGTACGCTTAGCGTGGAGGTCGAGCAGTTTGAGACTTTGGGTGGATCTCATTCTGAGATAGAGATGACCCGTCTGATATTTTAGATTTGAGTGAGCTAGTCCGTTGGTTTCGTAAGGACCACGAGACACGCGGAACTAGTAAGTAGTAGACGACCGAGGTCGGGAGTGAGGTGACTCAGGAGGGGATTGTAGTGTTCGCTTGAGGTAAGGCGAACTTCGTGACTTCGAGTGTCACATGAAGGACTGAGATAGATAGTCTGAAAAGGAGTTATAAAAAAATGACTGGTTGGACGAGAAATTAGTAGCCTTGAAGTTCCAACCGTCGGGTCGGGAGTTGACCAGGTGTTCAGTGTCGGAAGGAACATTTGAGAGGATCTGGGGCTTATGATTATGGGAGTTTGAGGATCGTTCCTTCAGAAGAGTTCTGATGGCTTCTCAGGCGGTGGGTCCTTCGTGGAATATGACCTTCCGTTCCTTTTGAGTTACGAGCGGGGTCGATTAGAGAATCATAGTTGAAGAGTGTTCCTAGAGTCTGTTAGTCGATGGGCGATTAGCAGGATGATGATTTTCGACGGTGGTCTGGCAGGGAGATAGACCACTAGAGTTTTCAAGTTTTGGAGAGTCATATCGAGTACCGCAGCGGCAGATGGGTCTGTCCTTTTTCGGGTCGTGAGTCCCTGTTGGGTTCAGGTGTCTTTGAAAGAGGTTGTCGTTTAATATGATTTCCTTTCGGTGGGGCTCCTCGGGTTATTGGGTTCGATATATGTGTTGATAAGGAGCGATTTCGAGGGTGAAATCTAATTCAAGTGGGGGAGAATACTTGTAACACCCTAAATTTGCAAACAAAATTTTCATTTTAAATTCATATAAATCTCATAACGCATTTCACACAATCTCATTTATTTAGTTTAAAAAACGCATCTCCATAATTGTTTGTTTGATAATCTAGGATCCTCAAAACATAACTCTTTCTCTGGTGTGTACAATCGAGCCGGTGCCTTCCCGCGATCCTGAGAAAAACCAGAAACACATAACACGGTAAGCACGAAGCTTAGTGAGTTCCCCAAAATACCACACACATTTTAGTAGCCTCTCATGGTTATACCCAGATAAGACCCTCCAGTCAATTTGTCTCTATGGGACCCTGCGGTCTCAGAACTCAGGTGGACCCTCCGGTCCTAACTCAATAAGCTCATAATAACAATACTCATCATAAATCACAGAGACATACTGCAGAATATCACAACACAAAAAAAAGCACATAAGGCATCTCAGTCACACAAGGATACCACTCATGGTAAATATAGTGAGAAGACTCACCTCGAATGATGAACAACCCCTAAAACGCTGCTGCTACGCACCGGCCACAAACTCTGTGCCAAACCCACAATTAACCCAATTAGGAACTAAGTCTGAACTCTCGCTCATTAGGTCTAAAGGTAGTCCACTGAATAGCTCATCAATAACCTAAAACCCATTGGGCCCACCAAGGCCCAATAATAAATGGGCTCTCCGAAGGCCCAATTTTTAATCTAAATGGCAAGCCCAGCTCAAGGGCCCAAAGCACAATATAATATTTCTCTGCTCAAAGTCATTAATACACAAGCCCAAAAATCCAGGCCCAACCCTTAAGGCCCAATAATAAATACAACCCAAAAGCTCACAGAGAGGTTACGCGGGGCGTACCTCCCTTGGTACGCTCATCGTACACTAGCATGCACGACTCTGATCGGGGACACCAACCTAGTGCGTGGGGCGTAGTGGAATTACATTGGGCGTACGCCCAGTTTTGCTTAGTCCATTCTCTTGGTCTTAACCCGTTAATAACTTAGCTCATTTCTCAAATCTGGACTCCCTAATAGCTCTTACTCCATAAAGTCAGTGACTTTAAGCCTTTGCATGGCTGATATGGTCACAAACATACAAAACACGCACTTTCTTATCTCAAAAAGCTCATAACTCATGCATGGCTTGATACCAACGTCCAAGACCTCATTTTTATGGATCCTCTCCACTATAAATACTCTAAAGGACAAACATTAGGCTCTGGAGTGCAACAACTCATAAAGCTTCAAGATTTGGGAAAAAAAACCCTAAAATGGACCATAACATGCACAAATCAAAAGGATGGGAAAAGCCTTGAGCTTTATACCTTCAAACGATGCTCCATCCACAGAAAAGCTCAGATCCAAAGCCTGGACTCCAACTCTCTTCTTTTCCATGCTTCTTCTCCACTCCAAAATCTCAAAAGAACACTTAAAACACTCAAAAGCTCTCAAATGCATAAACAAACTCCATGAACGAAGGTTTAGGGTTTAGGAGGGTTTGAAATCTGAGGGTGGTGGCCAGGAATGAGGCCATCACATTCCTTATATAGGGAGACACCCAAAATTAGGGGACGCCCAGCGTACCCACTGGTACACCCAGCGTACTACGTGGCTCCTCTTAAAAACCACACACATAAGTACGCTAAGCGTACACATATGTACGCCCAACGTACTCAGCTGCCACCTTTCTCAATTAAGGGACTTATCCTGCCAACACTTCAAACTTCCAACACTTCCTTGTTATGACTCCGTTTCCAAAGAACCTCATACCCATGGAAAGGTGACGAGATGCCTTACACTTCTAGCAATTCGTCGCAACCCCGAGACTTCCTCATGTCCGGGGTTGCAGCCCATGAACCCTAACCACTGACGACCCGAAACAGGATGTTACAAGAAATATAGCTGCAATGCCTTGTCACTTATAATCTGTCCAACTTGCAAATATCATTTGTGTTTAAGTGGACCATAATATTGGTATTTGACGAGAGTTATCCATGCAGGTGTGTGCTGACAAACGGTATTAAAATTGCTTGACAACTTTTGATCCCAAAGATTTTAAATTTAATTATTAAAATGTTTTATTTTATTTTATTTTATTTTTGTTTCTAAAATTTTTATTTATTTTATTTTTTATTTTTATTTTAGTTTGCCATTAATTTGCATTCATTTAGAATTTTAGAATTTTATATTTTAGTTTTTATTTTCTTTATTTTTATTTTCATTCTATTTTATTATTAATCTAAGAAACGAATTTAAAGATAATGAATTGTTTATTGGATTTTCTTTTGGGGCCCATTGATCTCGGTGGCTCAAGGGCCGAGAACCCACTAATGAGTTTAATAGGATTTTTCGAGTCTCATCTTCATTCATCACCACCAAAATCATCTTCTTCATTCTTCATTCTCTCTAAACCTAAGCGAAATCCTTTCTTTAAACCTATTCATCTTTTCATCCTCAAATCATCATTTTTCTTTGATTCTTCGAAATCGTGACTAGGTATGTGGATTACGAGTAACATGCTTCATTTTTATGCTTTTTTTTAGAAGTTTTTGCAGGAGCTCAATGAGTTTTCGGGTGGTTGATGGTGGTTTCCGGCGAATCTGCCAAGGGTTTCAAATTTTGAGAAATCGGGTTTTCGGTTTGACCCGGATCCAACCGAAATCAATTGAATTGGCCGAAATCAATATGGTTGACCGAAAACATTTCGTCAAAAGTGTTTTGACCGAAAACGATGGAAACCTTGACGTTAATCGAAAACGCCTGAACTTATGTCTTTGACCGAACTCTCAAGCCCAACCGAAATAGTTTATTTTTTGACCGAAATCACTTTCTCCTTGACCGAAATCGACCTTTTGACCAAACTTTGAATTTTTTTTTGAGAAAATAAAATTATATTTTAATTTTTATTATTCTCACTTGGTTTGTTTGGTGCAGTTAAATGGTGGATCAATTGAAATTTGTGGATTCTCACAATATCGCTGGATATATCATGGATCCACCTGCCGCGCACAATGAATTCAAATCCATGATCGTGGGTTTGAACAATTGCATGATTTCCCATTCTCTACGTGCTAATCCAGTCATTTACAAAGACCTGATTACTGAGTTCTGGAAAAAGGCTTCAATCAACAAGCAGGGAGCAGATGGAGTTGGTGCTATTGAATCGATGGTGAAGGGAACTCCAGTAATTATTTCTGAGCACGTTATCCAAGAAGTACTTGAATTTGGTGATGCATCTGCATTTCCAATTGAGTACACTGCTGATAAAGTGAGGGGAGCCCTTGAGAAGATGTGCTATGAAGGTACCTATCCTCCCACCATTAAGAAACTGATGTCACCTTATTGGAGGTTTTCTGGCACACTACCTTGTAATTTGCATTTCTGGAAGGAAGGGAGGATCAGATAAAATTAGTCAGACTGCGACCTCAGCCATTGTCGCTCTAGCAATGGACTGGGATTACAACTTTTCAAGGTTTTTCTTTGAAGAAATAAAAAGCAACATTCAGGGGAAAAAGAAGGACCTATTTTGATGTATCCTAGGTTCCTTCAAATGATCTTAAATGAAAAATATACCCAACCTGAGAGGTCTTTTGATACTTTGGATTTTAAATCCTTGAGTCCCAACACCTTTGGGCTGATAAAGCAATCAAGAAAAGTAGCCAACGTCACCTATGAAGGATTGAAGGAATTGGTCAAATATGGAAAATTTGCCGAGACATAAGGTGTTCAAGTTGCTAGTACTCCAATTGCTATGGTGGCAGAGGAACATGTGGCACCATCAAGGTCACATCTCAGTTTTTCGTTTGAGGTTTCTAATGATGATGATGATGATGATGTTAATAATGATGATGATGATGATGATAATAATAATAATGATGATGATGATGATGATGATGATGATGATGTGAATTTTCATTTGTTTGTACCACCGAAAGAGCCAGTCAATGAAGCTGTGATTACCCCAGCTGAGACAGAGACTGAAATCAATATTTTCAAGCAACCGAAAAATCCAACGCCCGAACAGATGGAAACCGTTATTGAAAAATTATAGTCAACTGCAAGGAAGCCTCTCCAAGCAATTCTTATTACTACTGATTCTCCATCTAGGAGTGATAAAGATGATTTAAATGCATCCTTGTTGCCAAGAAAGCGAAGACGTAGATATCTAAGGCCGGGAGTGCTTATTGTTGAACCAGTACAACAGCCAACTTCAAATGTTGAACCAGCCCAAGTTATTCAAGATGATCAAAGCCTAATTGTTGAACCAGCCCAAGTTATTCAAGATGATCAAAGCCCAATTGTTGAACCAGCCCAGGTTCATCAAGATGATCAAGGTCTAATTGTTGAACTAGAACAGGTTCATCAAGACGTTCAAAGCCTAATTTTTAGCGATGACTTCGACTTCTTAAATAATGAGGAAACTTTTGCCTCGGGAAGCTCTTCTTCCCCACCACCTCCAAAGCACGATGTTGCATCTATCAAGTTATCCAAGCTACTTTCCTTTCAAGACTCTATTCCTCAATCAAAAGGAAAGGGAATATCTATTGGCTCAGGGCATGGAGGTGATGAAGACTCTCAACCAACCATTTCTGAGCTCAAACAAGAGATTGTACTTTTGAAGCAGGAGTCCATTGAGAAGGACTTGTTGATTGGAATTTTAGAAGTCAGAGTTTCAGAGCTTGAGAAAGAAAATTCTCAAAAGAATAAGCAGATCTAAGACCTTCAGGCCAATCTTGGCATGTTGACAGCTCTATGTTATGATCTCAAACACAAATTGATTGGAAAATTTGGTAGTGAGTTCAAGACTTCAAATTTCTGATGATAGAAAGGCTCCATAGTCATATAAAAGAGTCACAATTTCTCATGCCCCAGATGCTAACATTGATCAATTTTTGTCCTCTGGCCTTGTCACTACCGAAGAAAGAACGGAGAAGAAGAAAAGGGGTTGATAAGCTGAAGAAAGATAAAATGCTTCTGATGAAAAATTCTGATCAGAATGCACCTTATGATCACCCACAGATGTTTATTAAAGAAATTGGAAAAAGAAAATTTGATGATCGATATGGTGATCGTTCTGGAATTCGCATGTGGGGATTTGAAGCTGATAAGAAGATGTGGGTTGTGAAACGAAAGAGCGAAAACATTGAGTATTATGCGAAGAAGACTAACTTTGTGTCTTGGAAAAAAGTTGATCTTACAGATCTGGTCCACGCACCGTTCCACAATCCAACAAATGATCCCAACGCATGGGCGTTTAATTGGTTCCTTGAAGACAACGCTAAGATGAACTTTGAAGGCATGAAAACAGCATCATCGTTCATTAAAAATGCCAAGGATGTCAACAAGGATGTCATAGATCCCCACACCAACAAGACTATGGTAAATGTCATATGCCCACCTACGACTAAAGCGGAAAAGATCCCGATCACTCAGCGTGTACCTGGTGGCTCCTTGAATGATCTGCGATATTGGGTATATGATGAGGCTACGGAGACTATCGTAATCAAGACGAAAAAGGATTAGATTCGTCTTGTTGATCCTAAGGATTTGCTGAAATTTGGCGAGCATGAGATACATACTTTATCCAAGGATTGGCTTATGGTGGAAAATGAAATGTTGGAAGCTCTTGCAAAGGCTTTCACCGGCATGATAGCGACAATTATTGATAAGAAGTTGTGGGCAGGAGTATTAACGGATTCTGATGTTCATCTTGTTGAGAAGCCATGAAGTCAATAAGCAATAGCCAACGATAAACCAAGGGGGAAATTATTGGGCCATATTTAATGGCTTATGTTGGGCTTCTAGTCTTTTAATGATCTTCGGCTTTAGATTATGAGCTTATTGGGTTTTCGGTTTTGGGGAGCGAAATCACTATGGTGATTTCGGTCAAATGGGCTTGGCCTGTGATAAGGCTTTGTACTTGGTGTATAAATAGTTTTCAGTCGTTTACATGTTCTTGTTGTTCATTCATTGTGGTATTCGGCTGTTAAGAGTTTCCTTGATGTACCAGACGATTTGATCTAATAATAATCGTGTGCATTAAGTATTATTTGTGTATTCTTTAATCGCTATCGGATTTATATTCCGCATTCATTAGATAGTCTGACTGATATCTTGATGAGCTAAGTGTTTTGGGACTTACAGTGTCAATTCGGGCTTTTGTGGAAATTGTATTTTTGTTCGGAATGTATTAAGCATGGTATGAGTTGATAGAAGTTTAATGCTTCTCGTTACCTTTCTGTGGCACAGAGGGTTTATAGGTTGGGTAGCCTTGTTATTTGGACTCTTGGGAACCTGGTGGTTAGACCAGGTGCGAGACTGGTAGTCTCATAGATGGTTTAGGAACATTTATATATCGATCAAGTAAGGGGTTGTCGGGAATTAGAAGGTTTTGGGTGTGAAATGCAAGTGCAGATTTGTGGATCTCGGGTTATGAGTTGAGTATCGTATTGGTTTTTGGGTAACATCTCGTGTCGGGTATCACGAGTATTTTGTGTAGGATTTTCATTTCAATGGAATAAGAATTGGGGTATCTATATGTCTGATGCATCAATCACGGGGTTCAAGTGTAATGAATGGGTTTAGTTTTGATGATAGATCATGTCATTGTGTTGTGACGAGGGATGGTTCTATATGTGGGAAATGGTAGGTCGTTGGAGACCGGGTATGATATAAGACTACAGTTGGTCAGCTAGCATTCTTTTAGCAGTGGATATGGTGACGATATGGTTTGGGTAATTATCGCCATATAAGGTTTCTCTCCGGTGTCGCCTCGGGCGACTGTGTATGTGTGTCTTTCGACTCAACAACCTAGCAGGTGTCCGGTGCCTCAGATAGTTGGCAGACAAGTTGGTATCAGGGGGTCTTAACTGCCTTTGGAAAGGAACTAGGAGGCAATGTGATGTTTCGGGCAGTATCAGTGATTTGGGATTTGTGTGTGTGGAGTAGCTTGTTGTTCGGGAAATGCTAAGTCACTTACAGTTTGGATTAAATAATCTCATAGTAAGAGATTTGACCCTGTTGCGCAGCTCTCATTTGAGTCTAACCGTTGTAGGGATGAATCTTCTACTCGAAGGATTATTTGAGCCTTGTACCAAGCATAAGTGTCATGCAACTGTTTATCGTCGGTGACTTTGTTTCCATTGGTCTCATCAAGATAATCAGGCTTGGAAGTGTTTTTTTTAGTATGTTATTCGATAAGGAATTGGCACGGTAATGGTTCAGCGGGGGCGGTCTGTCGGGGAGTCAGACCAATGTAGGTTTCAGGTTTCGGAAGGGTAGATGTGGTCTTCTGCAAGGGATTAATGATTCGTTTTTGTTAGGGTTTGGAGAGTTGTGTTAGGGTTGGTTTCGATTGCCTTAGGAAGGTTGTGGTATTCTTAGGATTGTAGTTGTGTTGCTCAGGTTGTCTGGTATTTCGGGTATGGTAATGAATGATTTCGAGGACGAAATCTAATTTAAGTGGGGGAGAGTTGTAACGCCCTATTCCGAATCAATTCCTAATTCGATGCTGTGTCCGAAGATCGGTCATCATAAGGATTAGGTTCTTTGAAAAGGTAAGATCTAGGCCCATTTGGGTACGAGTGATATATTTGAAGTGATATGGGTGTTCGGTTCGTGTTTTCGAGCCTACGGGTATTTCGGTAAAGTGTCAATTCGGGATTTTGTGGAAATTGGATTTTTGTTTGGAAGGTCCTAAGGATGGTATGAATTGACAGAAGTTTAGGGATTCTCGTTACCTTTCTGTGGATATAAGGATCGTTGGAAATGGGCTTATAACGAAGAAGTTATGGCCTTCGGAAGTTTGGTGGTTTTCAGGTTTAGTCAGGTATGTCGGGCATACACAAAGCGTACGTCGGGCGTACTAGTGAAGAAATCAGTATGCGGGGCGAAGGTTGGGCGTACTGACCAGGATGGTTGTTATTGCTCTTCGGAGTACATTGGGCGTACCATATGTACGTTGGGCGTACTCTAATCAGACTCAAACCCTATTGGAGGGTCTTGGACCCTATTTAAGCTCCTTATCTCATAACCTAACCCTAATATCTTCAGCCTACATCCCTCTAAACCCTAGAAATCGATCTTTATCCCCCATTTGAGTGATCTTAGAGCTTCAAAGTGATTTATGTGTGTTTTGGTGCTTGAGGAAGAAGAAGGAACTTCTTGAAGAGTCATTGCTTGACTTGGAGCTTTTGGATCCAAGTTTTGTGCACCTAGATCTATCTTCTGGAGGTATAAAGTCTCAACCTTGACAACTCTTTCATGTAGATCTATCTAAGTGGTATTTTGTTAGGGTTTTGGTACCTTTTAGGTGGATATTGTGAGTGGAAGTTACTCCAGAACCTTTCAGCTTCATATTTGGTCCTTGTTGAGCTTATGTAATCGTAAAGTTTGGATCTTGATGGGTATAAACCTTCAATGCATGATTTGGTAGTCATTTGATGAAGTTTGGGACTTAGGATTTTGATTTGGGTCCCATTGAGTTATTCTAAGTCATAAAGTTGGACTCTTTATGACTTAAGAAGTCCCTTGAAATTAAATCTGGAAGTTTGGACTGAGGTCTTAAGGTATTAAGAAATTTTAAGACATTTTTGGAGTGATTTTAACTTTTTGGAATTCATCTTTGCTGTTTGGGCTTCATTAAGCCCTGCAAAGGCTTAAAGCATTCGACTTTATGGATCAAGTCACTTATATTTAGCTATTATGAGGTTTTGGACGTCTTGGCTTAATGGATTAAGAGCTAGAATTAAGAGTTGGTCAACAGGAGGAGTACGATGGGCGTATAAGCATGTACGCGCAACATACAAGCTCTTAAGCCAGTACGCTTAGCGTACAAGCTGAGTACCCCCCGCATACTCAGCAGAGTGGGATTTCAGTTTTAGGGCTTCGGTTTGGGCCACCTTTGGGCTTTGTTGTTTTGGCCGCTGTTGGGCCATCAGGTTTTTGGGTTGATATTTATTTGTGGAGGCCCACTATGGATTTGGGCCAATTTGGAAAATGGGGTCATGGATTGGGCCTTGGGTTGTTTTTGGTATTTAGGCCTTGTGGACTAATAGGTTTGGGCCTAAGTCTCGGTCCAAAATTTGATGAGGGGTAAATTGGTTATTTACCCTAGTAATGGATTTATGATTATGGAATGGAACCCAATTGTTGATTGGGTTTTGTTTTGACTTCGATAGTTCGGGGATCTGTCAGCCAGCAGCCAGGGATTTTATGTTTGATTCGGCACTGCGAGGTGAGTCTCCTCACTATATCCATGGGTTGAAGGAACCAATGTCGGCCCATTATGTGTTATGTAGTATGCTAGTTGTCTCTGTAATACTTGTATGGAAGACCCCGAGGGAAGCCCGTGGCACTTGGATATTAGGCCATGGGGGTGCCCATGGCATTCAAGGTAAAGACCGTAGGGGGAGCCCATGGCATTCCAGATAAAGACCATGGGGGTGCCCATGGGAAGTATATGTATGTTGCATGATAATTTGTGGTTGTATGTTTTTTGGTATTTTGGGAAACTCACTAAGCTTTGTGCTTACGGTTTTCATTTCATGTTTCAGGTACTTCGGTTTTCAAATGGGAGAGCTCGGGATGATTGCAGAGCACACACCACATGTTTCCACATTCTTTTAGATCACTCTTATTTGATGATGTTTTGTTAAATCTTGGTTACCTTGGCTTAAGGAAAATATATGTTTTAGCTATTTATTAATCTAAAAACAA